ATCCACACAATGGAATATTATACAACCATAGAAGGAACAAAGTACTGGTAGATACTGCAGTGTGAATGAACTTTGGAAACATTTTTAAGTGAAAGAAGTCAGGCACAAAAGACCACATATTGTATGATTCTATTGATATGAATATCTAGAATAGGCAAATACACAGAAAGCAACTTAGTGGTTGCCAGGGTGTGCTGGGAAGGGGGAAATGGGAAGTGATTGCATAATGGGTATGGAGCTTCTTCTCGGGGTAACAAAAATGCTGCTGCTGCTGCTAAATCATGTCAGTTGTGTCCGACTCTGTGTGACCCCACAGACAGCAGCCCACTAGGTTCCCCCATCCCTGGGATTCTTCAGGCAAGAACAATGGAGTGGGTTGCCATTTCCTTCTCCAATGCATGAAAATGAAAAGTGAAAGTGAAGTCACTCAGTAGTGTCTGACTCTTAGTGACCCCATGGACTGCAGCCCACCAGGCTCCTCCGTCCATGGGATTCTCCAGGCAAGAGTACTGGAGTGGGTCACCAGTGCCTTCTCCAACAAAAATGTTCTAGAATAGTGACAGTGGTTGCACAACAATGTGGATGTGCTAAAGGCCATTGAATTATACACTTTAAAACAGGTAAAATAGTGAATTATGTTATGTGAAATTGTCCTTAACAAAAATAAAATCTATTCCATTTTCACAAAAAATAGTACCTGAAGATATTTTTATGTCTTGAGCTTTTTTCTCTTAAGAATAGGAGCAAAAAAGTCCCTAACATTAGCTTTAGAGTTTACAAAATACTTTACCATGTGAGCTTACATAATCTTCACAACACATGAGACAGACACTATGACCCCAATTTAGAGATTAGAAGAACTGAGTCTCAGAGAAGTATAAAGTCATATGGTCAGGAAGCAGGAGCGTTGGCTAATCAAGTCAGACAGTCTGACTTAGCATATTTACTGTTGCAAGGCAAACAGCTCCAACTTCTGATAAGCTTGAAAAAGGACAGGAGATGCCACTGTGTACATACATCTTGGAATTTTTCTTCTTCCAAAGTTAGTATTTTAAAGCAGTAAAACTATTCACTGTATCCAAGTTAATAGAAATTTTAACAAAACCAATATAGATGATTATTGAATAAGAGCAGCATAAAGCAGGACATACAGATTTCCTCTTCCAATTTTCTAAAGATGAGTTTAAGTTTCTCGGTGAAAGATATGCTATAATGCTAGCATGTCCTCTCACCAATACAGTTCAGCATAATGTTTACAGGGCATGGCAATAAGTAATGAGATGACTGTGCATTTCCTTATACAACTGGCCTCATTAATTTACATTAACTAGTGAATGGCACATTAGTGGTTTTCTAACACTCTGACGAGTCCTATAGATGTTTCTGAGAAAGCGGAGGGGTGAGGGTTACCAGCCCAAGCAGAGCATCCTCTTATTTTCTACATCAGGTTTTTTCTTAAAGATACTGTTTTAAGTAAGGACGTCATTACTTTTTAAAAAAATACATACGGAAAGACACTGCAGTATATATATGCATCTTCAATTCTTCAGAGATTTTCAAAAATCTCTGCAGATAAGCTAACATTATATAATTATTACTAAATACAAGCACAGAAATGTGAAGTAGGTTCACTCTACATTTGACTTAACATTTTTCTTAGTTTCTAGGTTCAATTAAACTATTCTGATAACCCCCATTTTATAGAATTGGTATTGTGAGCACACAATGAGAAACAAGTAACTTATCTCACATGGCAGGGTGAAGCACAAACAGGGTATAGAAATCAAGCTCCATCCAGATGGCTTAGTCTGTTGGATGATGCCTAGTTCAAAAAGCCTTGGTGTCATGCAGTCATTCCATGCACTATGACCTGAAGGTACAGATGTCTCTACTTGAGGTACATGACAATACTTGAGGTGGCTATGTGCCAGTAATGTCTCGAACACATGCCAGCTCAAGGGCAAAATTAGTCTCTCTTCCTCCTATGTTTCAGATTATCCTTCGGTTCCCCCAATAGAAAATCCTTTCCAGAAGGCACAGTCAAAATTATGAAACATGAAACAGAAGATCTGGATTCAAATCATGTCTCTATCAATTAGTGTCCCCTTCATGCCTGAACTCTCTGGGCCTCAGTTTGTTCACAGTACTTACCTCAAAGGCTATTAGGAGGGTTAAGTGAGATAGTTTAGCAGGTCCCATCCTGTGGGCTCCAGACCCCCTGGGTATCTCTGGCCATATTATAAGAGGTCTGAAAAAGCACATACTAGAGAAAAAGAATCATTTAGGGTTTAAGACTAAAAGCTCTGGAGTAAAACTGTCTGGGTTCAAATAATGGTTTTACCACTGAAGCAGGTTACTTAGCCATTCTGTCTCAGTTCCTCATCTGTAATTGGAGGCAATAGTATTTAATGGATTATTGTGAGGATTAAATGGGGTATATATGTAAAATGCTTAGAACAGTGGCTGGCATAGTAAGAATTCAATAAATGTTAGCTATTACTGACATTTACTGAATTAGTAATTGCTATTATCTGAAAGAGATGGGAATATGAGACCACCTGATCTGCCTCTTGAGAAATCTGTATGCAGGTCAGGAAGCAACAGTTAGAACTGGATATGGAACAACAGACTGGTTCCAAATAGGGAAAGGAGTACCTCAAGGCTGTATACTGTCACCGTGCTTATTTAACTCAGATGCAGAGTACATCATGAGAAACGCTGGGCTGGATGACGCAGAAGCTGGAATCAAGATTGCAGGAGAAATATCAATAACCTTAGATATGCAGATGACACCACCCTTAATGGCAGAAAGTGAAGAAGAACATAAAGAGTCTCTCAATGAAAGTGAAAGAGGAGAGTGAAAAAGTTGACTTAAAGCTCAACATTCAAAAAACAAAGATCATGGTATCTGGCCCCATCACTTCATGGCAAATAGTTGGGCAAACAGTGGAACGGGGGAAGGGGATGACAGAGGATGAGATGGTTGGATGGCATCACCGACTCAATGGACATGAGTTTGAGTAAACTCCAGGAATTGGTGAAGGACAGGAAGGTCTGGTGTGCTGCAGTTCATGGGGTTGCAAAGAGTTGGACACAACTGAGCGACTGAACTGAACACTACTATATGTGTTTATGTATTCTTTCAAAGTATAATTATCATCATGTGGATGCTTGCCAAGTTTTTTATGTTAAAGAAGAGTTGTTATACTTGAAAAGATTAAATACTTCTAAGATAATAGCTGTAAAAGAATTTAGTTTACTACCTGCTATGTCCTCATCCAGAGTAGTTGCATTTATGATTTCAATGTTTTTTAATTTACTGAGGTTTACTTTGTGGCCTAATATATGGTCTATCCTGGAGAACAGGCCATGTGCACTTAAGAAGAACATGTATTCTGCTGTTGTTGGGTACAGTGTGTTGTGTATGTCTGTTAGGTCTAACTGGTTTATAATGTTGTTCAAGTCTTCTGTTATCTATTAGTCTTCTATCTGGTTATTCTATCCATTATGAGAAGTGGGATACTGAGCTCTACAACTATTACTGTAGAACCATCTGTTTCTCCCTTCAATTCTGTTAATTCTTGCTTCACCTACCTGGGGACTCCTTTGTTAGGCTGCATATATGTTTGTAATTGTTGTATCTTCTGGCTGCAGTGAACCTTTTATCAATATGTAATCACAGCAAAAAGATGGGGAAAAAGTGGAAGTAGTGACAGATTTTATTTTCTTGGGCTCCAAAATCACTGTGGATGGTGACTGCAGCCATGAAATTAAAACATGCTTGCTCCTTGGAAGGAAAGCTATGACAAACCTAGACAGTGTATTAAAAAGTAGAGACATCACTTTGCCAACAAAAGTCTGCATAGTCAAAGCTATAGTTTTTCCAGTAGTCAAGCATGGACATGAGAGTTGGACCATAAAGAAGGCTGTGTGCCAAAGAATTGATGTCTTTGAATTGTGGTGCTAGAGAAGACTCTTAAGAGTCCCTTGTACAATAAGGAAATCAAACCAGTCAATCTTAAAGGAAATTAACCCTCAATATTCACTGGAAGGACAGATGCTGAAACAGAAGCTCCAATATTTTGGCCACCTAATTTTGGGAAAGACTAAAGGCAAAAGAAGGGGGCAGCAGAGGATAAAATTGTTAGATAGCATCACCAACTCAATGGACATGAATCTGAGCAAACTCCGGGAGACAGTGAAGGACAGGGAAGCCCGGTACACGCTGCAGTCCATGGGATCGCAAAGAGTCAGAAATGATTTAGTGACTGAACAACAACTTCCTTCTTTATCTCGTGTACCTTTTTTGATTTAAAAGTCTATTTTGTCTGACATTCAAGAGCCACCAGCTCTTTCTTGGTTATCATTTGCATCAAATATATTTTTCCATCCTTTTACTTTTATCTCGTTTCTTTGTATCTAGATTATCTTGCAGACAGTATATGGGTGGATAATGTATTTTCTTAAATCAATCTGACAATCTGCCCTTTTAAAGGAGAATTTAATCACTTACATTTAAAGTAATTACTAATAAGGAACCATTTATTTCTGCCATTTAGCTATATGTTTTGTATGCTTTACGTTTTTCTCATTTCCTCTTAGTATCTTTATAGGTCTCTCTACTGTCTGACCCTGCCTTCTCATCACTTGCTACACTGCCTCCCCACTGTCACTGCCTTTTTAAAATATTAATCTAAAGATTCACTGGAGGCTTGGTCTTTCTAATCTATTTGAATAGCTCCTGATGAATCTATCCCACAATGTTAAAAGGAATGACCTACCTTTTCTGGCCATGATAGTAGGTTCAGGTGCTAGCCCAGTTTTCACCATCTGAATCACTTGTCCCTTAAAGGCACATTCACCACACACCATTCATACACACAGTTTATTATTATTATCGATTCCTTGCCTACATGAGGCCTGGGTTAGGTTGGACTCTAGAATACTTAAGAAGAGTCTCTTGATGACTGGTAAGCAAAGAAATGAGTAAAGTGGCTTACATTGTAGGAGCGGGGATGTCTCTGTTTCCACTGCACCAGGAGCAGCTGGGCCACCACCAAGGTAGCGATAAGGATGAGGACCATCTCAGCATGCATGGCTTCGTGGCCGCGATGCTTGGCATGCATGCGTGCATGCTCGACCCTGAAAGCCAAACAGATGCAGTGAGCTAGGTCAGGGATGGTGTGGTGATAAAGGGGCAGTGCTTTCCAGGGATACCCACTGGTCTATAGCTCAGAACACACTGTTTTAAAAAATAATAAAAATTTTTACTTTTGGCTGCACATGGTCTCTGTTGCTGCATGTGGGCTCTTCTTAGCTGCGGTGAGAGGGGGCTACTCTCCAGTTGCAGTGCGCAGGCTTCAGTAGCTGCGGGGCACAGGCTTAGTTATTCTAAGGCATGCGGAATCTTCTTAGACCAGGGATCGAACCTGTGTCTCCTGCATTGGCAGGCAGATTCTTAACCACTGGACCACAAAGGAAGTCCAGAACATACTCTTAAACTGTACAAATTAGGTGCTAGAAAGACACATGCCTTAGAAGACAGGAATTCTGAGATAGAACAGGGGTTCTAGGGGCTCCAGTCACCAAGGTTAGGTATGGGGTTAAAGGTTGGTGGTCTGCTCCCCACCCCTAATGGTAGAAACAGTGGATTCCTTTCTATTTTGGTCCTATTTCAACCTGTCACAGGAAGGAGAAAGTAACCGAGAAAGAAGGTCACAGCCATAAAGGCTCATACTCTTATTCAATGATATTTATGACACCAATAAAGGAGTAATATTGCAAATGTGTGCTAATTTCAGGGTTAAAGTCTTGCTTTATTTGTCCTACCCTCTCTGTCAGGATCAGAGATCCTTAAGACTAAAGCCTGAAAAATCTGAACTGCTTCAGCTTTATACTACTTCACTATCAGTGTCCAGAGGTAAACAGTCTCTTCATGGGCTCAAGGAAAGAAAAGCTAGAAACTCTTATTTAATCCAAGGCTGGCATTCTCTTGTCTTGAGGATTGGCGGAGAGTGATTCCCTTGGCCAATACAGGCAAAAAGCTTCCTCTGAGAACAGAAAAGTCAATCCTACCATTCTGGGTCAGAGTCAGCTAACGGAGAGGAATAAAGGAATTAGAAAACTGAATACAAATGTAACCTGTGGTCAGCAGTTTTGGTGCAAGTTCTCCATGGTGGTGATGGTGGGGGTTTAGTCACTCTGTTGTGTCCAACTCTGCGACCCCATGGACTGTAGCCTGCCAGGGTTCTCTGTCCATAGTATTCTCCTGGCAAGGACACTGGAGTGGGTTGCCATTTCCATCTCCACCCAGGAAGTTCTCCATACCAGAGGGTATCAGGGAGAAAGGGAAAGGACACATAAATAGTATGTATCTTCATGGAATTCCCAAGGGCAATGAGAGACTAAACAAGAACCACCAATAGGATGCATTATAGACAGATAAATCATAAAGAAATATAGCAAAAAGTTAGTTGTAGATTCTAGGTGGTAGGTACAAGGGTGTTCACTGTACAATTCTTTAAACTTTTCTGTATAGGAGATTTTTCATAATATAATAAAATGTTAGGTGGGAAGATCTGGTAGGCAGCCAAATGTCAGCCAGCCAGGCAGCCACAGTACCTAAGGGTTCATCTTACATAAATTGTTATCCTAGGTGGGAGAATCTGACAAAATATATTAATATGGGGAGGAGTCAGAAACTTAGGTTCAGAAACACCTATGTGAACGTAGCCAAAAGAATGTACATCTCTTCACCACAATTTCTTCATCTATCAAAAGGAGTCCATATCTTTTCTGCCTCCCTCATAGGATTATTTGCTGCCCAAACTAAAAGGGCAATGGATATTTAAAAACCTATCGACTGTGGGGAGTTATAAAGACAATAAAAGACAAGTTTCTTATTCTCAGACAGTATATAACTGATTGAATGTGTACAAGAAATCAAAGAAAGGATTGAGAAAAAATAGAAGTCATCTAGCTCAAATTTGCAATCCTGTGTTTGAATACCTCCACTGGCTGAGAATATATGCCTCTATTACTAAAAGTAACCTATTTAGAACCAGCAGTGTCTGACACATTTTTAGTACTAATATGTGCCTATGAAGGAGTAAAATTCTAATGCTTTAAGAAGCAGGAAGCTCAGTATCTCACAATATAAGATTTTTTTTTTTTTTTTTTTTTTTAGTATTTATCTATCTGCCCCAGATCTTAGTTGTGGCATGTGGGAACTAGTTCCCTCATCACAGATTGAACCTGGGTCCCCTACACTGGGAGCATGAAACCTTAGTCAATGGACCACCAGGGAAGTTCCAATATACCACGAATATTTTAATGATGTTTCTGATAATGAGATAAAATCTATCTTACTACAGCATCAATCCTTCAGACTTAATCCTATGCTCTGGAACATATCCACTCTCTCTTTCCCAATGCTGCCCCTTCAAATATTTATCATAGTATTATTTTAAAAAGCCAAAAAACAAAACCAGGCTTCCCTGGTGGTTCAGTGGTAAAGAATTCACTGCCAATGCAGGAGAAACAGGTTCAATCTCTGATCCGGGAAGATCCCGGATGCCACGAAGCAACTAAGCCTGTCCACAACTACTAAGCCTGCACTCTAGAGTCCCGGAGCTGCAACTACTGAAGTCCATGGCCTAGAGCCATGCTTCGCAACAAGTGAAGCCACTGCAATAAGAAGCCCACCCACCACAACTAGAGAGTAGTCCCTGCTTGTGGCAACGAGAGAAAAGGCCCTCGCAGCAACGAAGACCCAGCACAACCAAAAATAAATATGAATAAATAATTTTGTTTTAATTCATTTAAAAAAAAAATCCTGTTCTTAACACCATTTTCCTGGGCCCTTTTAGGCTAACAGTTCTAAATCTTTTAAACATGCACATAACATAATGTGAAGACCATTAATTCTGAATGCATTCTAGATGTATTTAGCTCAAGATCTTTTAATGTGCAGTATTTACAATACAATCAGTGTGGACTCAGCAAAACAGAACACAGTAGTACTGTTACTTCCCTTAAGGCAGATAGCATACTTTCAGTGAACACATTCCAAAATGTGGAATATTCTGGTAGCTAAGGTATAGAACTGGCGCATATTTTACTTAAAGTCACCTAAAATCTTGTCATTTGAGTCACTATCTTTGCCATTCTATATTTTTATCATCAATAGTTTTCCTTTAAATGAAGTGCTTTTTTCTCACTATTAAAACTTCACTGGGTTGATTTCAGCTCATTGGTCAGCTACCTTATGAAGTTTGAGGGATAAGCATTCTTGAAACTCATTTACTGAGGAGAAATAATGACAATAAGATATTTGTTGACTCACTCTGGTTACAAAGCAAGTTAGTAGCAGATGTGAGATCAGAAGATACATCTCCCATTTTCTCAAACAGAGCTCTCTGCCCTGGTTCCCAGATAATAATGATGCTAATGATGATAACCATCCTCAAAACAGGTAACACTTACTGGAAGCTTACCACATGCCAGGCACTGTTCTAAGAATTTCACAATTATTAATGTTCACAACAACTCTATTATGGGTACTGTAGTTTTCCTCATTTTACAAATTGGAAAAACTAAGGTAATATGAAGTAAACTTGCCCAAGATCACATCACTAGGAAATGGCAGAAGTAGTATTCAAACCCAGATGGATGGTTTGGTGCAATTATCTATTTACTCCTAAGGATTGAGGGAGCTACCCAGGAGTGACTCAAATACTGGGAAAGATCTCAAATGACCTGTCCTCCTCGTCACAGGTCACTGCCTCCCGCAGACAAGGAAGCAAAAAGGGTAGGTACACAACTCTATCAGTAGGATTAATCTATGGTTCCCACCATGAGGGGCCCGTTCTGTCACACTTACTTCCATTGCTCCTCTGGAGAAAGTTCTGACATATCCACCTGTAGAAAGACACCACCATAAACATCCATTACTGTCTTAGAACTGTTCCTGCCCAACATACAGGGATCACACATTTGCTAGAGCTAAAAGTATGAATCAGGATTTGTGGGATATGAAGCTAGATAAAATATTCTGTCATATAACACCATCTGACTCTAATTGGCCTCCTTAGACTAAGCATCAGTCCCTGTTCTGCTGTCAGTGGTATGACCTTCCAACCACAAAGCTCCCAGTTCTATTTGTTAGTCTTACCCTTTTATGGCAGGATTTCTTAAACCTGGACACTAGTGATAGTCTGGGACTGGTTAATTCTCTGGGTTGTTTGGGAAGGGGGGGTTTTGTAGATTGTATAATGTATAGGCTTCCCTGGCCTCTACCCACAGATGCCAGTAGCATCTTCACAGATACAACAACCAAAAAAGTCTACAGATATTATCAACTGTCCCTTGGGAGATGAAAAACTACCCCCAGGTGAAAAACCACTGCTCTAGAGCAGTGGTGGGATTGCATCACTGACTCAATGGATATGAGTTTGAACAAACTCCAGGAGATGGTGAAGGACAGGGAAGCCTGGCATGCTACAGTCTATGGGGTCACAAGGAGTCAGACACAACGGAGCGAATGAACAACAGAATAATATTAAATTCTTTGAGTTCAGAGCTTAAGTCTTCTACTCCCTTGTAGCCATATGGAAGAAAACCCAAACCTCAGGACATAAGTCACTCAATACATTCTTACATTGAACTGAGCTGAAAATGCTTTTTTTCCCCTCTCTTTTTTTCTTTCAGGGGAAAGCACGAACGCAGTCCCCCACTACCACAAATTATGCAGTCAAGTTTCCCACATTTGGGGAAATTGCAGGGGTTAGCACATCCAGAGTGCAATGGATAAGCCTCGCCCTGGGAAAACCACCTTTGTGATCATGGTATCTCCCCTGCCAGGTAAGTATTGAAAATGCTTTTTGATGTAGAGAAGAAAAGCCCTCATAAACACTCAGAGGAATCAATCAACATATATTCCTTTTGTACTTATGAAGTTCAAGACCCAGTTTCCCACTGTTCCTCTGATAACTTCAGAAAAGTACCTTAAGTGGAATATTTGAAGTAAAATGGGCAGAACTCCACTCTGCTACTAAATTGGTACATATTTACCATGCATCTTTTATGTGTGCGCACTGGGAATGTTCACCATTGCTTAAGGAGGGGTTTCTGGTTTCTACATACCCCATCTAGGGAAGGAAGGAAAGGGAGGAAAGAAAGGAAAGGGAGAAGAAGAGAAAGGGGAGGGATAGGAGGGTAGGGAGAAGAGGGAAAGAGAGAGAGGAAGAGAGAAACAATATCCCAAGGCTTCCCATAGCCAACCAAGGTAATGAAATCAACCACCCCCCTGTCCTACTTTACACTGTCTCACAAAATTTATTCAAGTGACCTGACTCAGCCCTTCATCTCCCTGAAAGGTCAGAGGTCCTCTCCAAGAGAGGACAAGTAGATGCAGGAAATGGAAAGGCCTAGCTGGGTGGTACCTGAGCAGACAATTTAGAACCACAGTCTTACATTATCTTACATATGCTTTCCAAGTGATCTAACTGCTGCTTAAATCCAGGGCCAGGGCCAGGGTGACATAAACAAGGCATCGAGGACTCAAAATTTACAGAGGCACACATTTTCAGGTACTGACCCTGCACTTGCATGACCTTAAGGGTGAGTGCCTCCTTCAAGTCTGTGCCCTGCACTTTGTATGCTTCACTCTAGGCCAAGTCCTGCTTATGTTTCTCTTGCTCCCATCCTAGATAATCTCACAGAGCTAAGGAGAATACACTGCTTTTCTGTCTTTCAAGAATAGCAGAGCTGAGCATATATTAAACACTCAATGAGTACTTATGGAATTGAACAGAATTCCTTCCAACAGGATAATAAGTAAGTATGCTGACAAACCAGCATCCTACCTGGAGATGCTTAAATAAGGATGTAAACAAACACTTGAAAAATACCTAATGAGCATCTGGGAAATAAGTATTTGTTTTCTGGAGGCACCTAAAAAAATCATGCTTTAAAAAACTGCAAGCCAAGCAACAAATGCTGCAAAGGGTGTGGAGAAAAGGGAACCTTCTTACACTGTTGGTGGGAATGCAAACTAGTACAGCCACTATGCAGAACAGTGTGGAGATTCCTTAAAAAACTAGAAATAGAACTGTCATATGACCCAGCAATCCCACTCCTGGGCATACACAACAAGGAAACCAGATCTGAAAGAGACATGTACACCCCAATGTTCATCGCAGCACTGTTTATAATAGCCAGGACATGGAAGCAACCTAGATGCCCATCAGCAGACGAATGGATAAGGAAGCTATGGTACATATACACAATGGAATATTACTCAGCTGTTAAAAAGAATTCATTTGAATAAGTTCTAATGAGATGGATGAAACAGGAGCCCATTATACAGAGTGAAGTAAGCCAGAAAGATAAAGACCAATACAGTATACTAATGCGTATATATGGAATTTAAAAAGATGGTAATGATAACCCTATATGCAAAACAGAAAAAGAGACACAGATGTACAGAACAGACTTTTGGACTCTGTGGGAGAAGGCAGGAGTGGGATGTCTGAGAGAATAGTATTGAAACAAGTATACTATCAAGGGTGAAACACATCACCAGCCCAGGTTGGATGCATGAGACAAGTGCTCAGGGCTGGTGCACTGGGAAGACCCAGAGGGATGGGATGGAGAGGGGGGATCGGGATGGGGAAAACATGTAAATCCATGGCTGATACATGTCAATGTATGGCAAAAACCACTACAATATTGTAAAGTAATTAGCCTCCAACTAATAAAAATAAATGATGAAAAATAAAATAAATAAAAAAATAAAAAATAAAAAACTGCTTGTCAAAACAAAACAACACAATACAACTACATGTTCAAAAAAGCAAGACAAGTCTGTTGAATGGAAAACAAGGAAGATCCAGAGAATTGGGCCAGGCATGGGGACACCTCTCTGTGAGACAGTGGTCAAGCACGCTACTGTTTGTTCCTTAAAGTATCTCTCACTGGAAAATAGAGATTGTCTTCTGACTTCACTGTGGGGCTGTGAAAATATACTAGTTTTATATTGCAAGTGATTTCACTGCCTTTCCTCCTAGGAGCGTATGTGCTCAGTTGCTAAGTCATGTCCAACTCTTTGCAACCCCATGGACTGTAGCCCATCACAGTCCTCTGTCCATGGAATTTTCCAGACAAGAATACAGAAGTGAGTTGCCATGCCCTTCTCCAGGGAATCTTCCCAACCTAGGGATCAAACTTGAATCTCCTGAGTGTATTTTATAAAGTACTTGGAGAGGCCAGGGAACTGAATGTTGGTGAAGCACAGGGCAGTGATGCTTTCAGGGCCTCAGGGAAAGCTCAGAAGGGCAAGCTCTTATGCTGAGACTAGACCTGGTGCTTAGAAGACCACTTAGCATTTCGGGGAGTAGTACGAGTACTGGAGTGGAGTAATGCTAAGAGTCAAGAGATGATGTGGCTTTAATATTTCCATCCTGAACCAAAAGATTTTAAAGATTACATCCAAACCAGTCATCCAGCTCAAGTGGAAAAACAAGGAAAGCTATAAGCTATATCTGTAAGTAAGCTGTACCCTAGAAATACATCTGCATTTTTTCCGTAACTAATGAGTTTATTCATCTGGGGCCAAGCAGTAAGTCATTCAGGTCCCCTGTCCAGGCTCAGGTAGCTAATTAGGCAGGCTCTCAGGGCAGGATTGATAGGCCCGTATTCCACTCCTAAGACTCATACACAGAATGTCTTTTTGACAACCAAGCACTCCTCTCCTAGGATTTCACAAAGTTTCTAGTTATGTAAATCTACCAAAGTCCAGATTTGAAAGAAGTTAAACCAAAAATGTCAGGCAGAAGACAAGATAAAATTTCACAAAAACGAAAAAGGATCTGCAGTTGACTGATATATTTTCTCAGGTGCAAAACACAGATGGATCCACCAGTGTAATCCCACAAGCAGGCCTCTGTCCCCCACAAATACTGATACTCTGGGGTCTCTTGAGTCTTTACACAGACTAATTAGTTTGTCCCTTCAGCCTTTCTCTTCCACCAAACCACATTCTGCCTTCCTGCAAAATGCTAGCCAAATCCTCCTGGATCCAGAAAGGCCCATTAGACTGACCCCACTGAAGGGGGAAAAAAAAATCCTCTACTGCTTTGAGCATGAGCCACAGTCCAGAAGCATCAGCACCCTGAGAGCTTAAAAACAGAGGCTTCAGAATCCATCCCAGACCTCCTGGATCAGAAGTTGCATTTAATAAGATACCCAGGTAATTCACATGCACATAAAAGCACTGCTATTGCATTCCAGCACTCACATTCAGTCTGTTCTACAGTCACACACCTCCACGCACCTGAACTGCTTTTGTTAACAGCTTTTCTGAGATCTAATTCACACAGCATAAAATTCACCCATTTAAAATGTGCTAGTCAATGTTTTCAGTATATGCAGAGTTGTGCTACCATCACTGCTATTTAAATTTAGAACGTTTTTTACCACTCTCAAAATGAAACCATATACCAGTCAGCCATCACTCTGCAACATCCCTCAGCCCAAGAAACCACTAATTTAATTTAATTTCGATCTCTATCTACACACTTGCCTATTCTAGACATTTCATATAAATAAGATTTGACAGTACGTGGTCTTCAGGGAACGGCTTCTTTTGCTTAGCATATTTTCAGTGTTGCTGCAGGTATTATAGTCATTCCTTTTTACTGCCAAATAATACTATATTATATGGATATACAATATTTTCTTTGCCCATTCATCAGCTGATGGACATTTGCACTGTTTACAGCTTTGTGCTATTATAAATAATGCTGTTATGAACATTCACTTTCAAGTTTTCGTACAGACATGATTTCATTTTGCTTGAGCATATATTTAGTAGTGAAACTGTCTGGTTATATGGCAACTTTATGCCTAAACTTTGGAAG